ATCTAATAGAGACAAATTTAATAGTCTTAAGATGTCATATTTTTCTATCACATGATTGAAGTTTTTTGGATATTTATTTTGATTTAGAAAAGATGTTATACTATTATAATGAAAGTAATACGAAAGTTAAATATAAGTGACAATGTCAAAGGGTGGAATGGATCCATATGATGAAAACAATCTATAGTTCATACAAACACCCATATCTAACCTTTGTTGTTTCCTGTTGAAGTCTCAATGCATCCCAACTTTACAAACTGCCCATGATTTCCAATTAACAAAATATAAAAAAAAATATAAAGATTAAATTTTTTTTTCTAAGGTTTCTCCTTGTCAATGTCATAATTGTAAAAGCAACAAATACCACTTGACAGGTAGTAAACTTCAACATTTCCTTCAAAATATGAGAAATTTGTTATCAATAAAAAAATTGTTAAGAGGTTTCAATAACATTTTAGAAGCACATTTCATTGTGCAATAACTTCAAACAAATATTTCACTGAAGGTCAAATATCTATATCCATTTTTTAGAATTCAATCAACCAGTGTCATAAAGCTGAACAGACAACAAATGAAAAGGTAACCGAAATACCCTTTTACCCGTCGGTATAGCACAATAGTGTCATCCAAGTGAGTAGAAGTGATGGCAGGGGCAGGACAGGTGAAATCATCAGTAGGGAAATTGATAGCTTGGATGGATGTGATTGAACCCTTTTTGGTTATCCAACAACGGATGGGATACAACGCAGTAAAGTGGACACCTTTGAATGAAAAAATATTTTAATTAGTTACAAATTAGAAATTGAAATCTGTCTGTACTTTCTTGAAACCAAACACATGTTCGGAATGGAGTTGAATTCCAATTCTGGTCAAATCCATTCAAGTAAAAAGAATATACAGTTAATATATATGAAAGAAAATGAAGAAACAATTACTTCATATATGTGATTGTGAAACTAACCTGTGAATGAACCATTGCTTATGCCGCAAGGAACATAAACAAATTATCAGAGTTATGCAATATGATTAATAACCCCAAATTAAAAAAAAAAAAAAACATACAATCAAATCTTCAATGTTTTCCAAATTGGAAGCTTTTCCTCCAAATCCACTTGCAAATTAAATGACCGAAGAAACATAACTCAAGTTCTAAACAGACTGTCAATGGTAGTTATTTAGAGATTCAAAAATTACAAAAACATTAAGTGATAGCATGGAATTTTTACTATAATTATATAAACAAAAAAGATTTAAACTAAAAAAATCAAATGTAACCATGGAAAATAAATCATATTTGTGACGGGATAAAGTCAAAAAAGGACAAAAATGAATATTGTCAAAACTTGGGGCAAAGATGAACGAAAAAGGAGCAGCCTTTCAGGAATCACGATTAATTTTGGAACTTCCAAACTAAAAGAGGTTGGAAAAAGAAAAAGTACGGTAAAACGATTAAGCAAAAAGCATAGGACTGTGGGACTTTTGATATATAAGGTTATATCCAAATGTGAGAAAGTTAGAAAGGGCATAAGAATTTCTTTTTACCAATGCTTGAAATCCTCAATCGGAATCTGATTGTCGTGAAAAGCGGCGTCATTTGATGATATCACTTGCCAACTGATTGATTTTCCTGATTTTTGTCTAACCTCATCACTTCCTCAACTCCTCATCTTCTGTTAAGGCGTGAGTAACAACATTATTTTTTGTGTTTTTTTTTTCCAGCTTTGCTCAAACCATATGCGACTCTAGTTTCTCTTACATTCATCCGATTTTCTGCCTTTGCTGAAACCAAAATTCAAATGACAAAAGGAAGTGCATATTGTTTAATAAATTGGATGCATACCTTTAATTATTTTTAGTCATACCTTTGATAACATGAAGCTAATAACATGTCCGAATAATATGATTGTGTGTTATTTAAAGCTTCATTGCTAGCTAAACAAGATAAGAACCTACCATAAATAGATATTAGTGTTGGATATACTGTCTAAGTCCATAACTATATTTGGTATGTACTTGACCCGACCCGGCATGGTCCATTTGGGTTGCACTTCACCCGAACAATTTATGGATAATATTTGAGAATAATACAAGTTATGATTTATTAATATATTATAAGTTCTAATATATTAATATAAGATCATATTATTTAATTAGTATTGATTTATAATTAATCTAGGATTAATTTAGAGATCAAAGATATTACTAATTAAATATGGGCTTCTGTATTTATATAGTGTGGGCTAATGCTTATTTGGAATGAGCTAGGCTTGCATGGAAAAGTCCATGGATACTCCATGGAGCTTTAACCCATGGATCTCATGGAAATGAAGAGACATGGGTATTAGGGTTTACATGGATGTAACCCTAATCCACCACACTATATAAAGGAGGCTTTGGTTCTTGAAATCACACTTGTTGAGGTGAGGGCCGATTTCAAGATAGTAGTGACTATTCTCTCAAAGTTCCAAGTTTGTGGTGATTTGTGATTTCCATTTGAGGCATTCACACTATTGGTGCTAGGCTCTAAAACTCCAAGCAATCAACTACTACTACAAGGTAAGCATTTCTACTAGCTTTATTTGATTCATGTTCCCCATGCCATGCTAGTTAGGATATGAACCTTAGAAAAATAATTATTTGCATGTATCTTAGACAAACATAGATCCAAGGTTTATTAGGGTTGCATGTACACTTAGGAAGTGTTATAATGCTCAAAACCCATCAATTAGAAGGGTAGTTATGTCTTTTTACTTTGTAGTTATTATTGGATATGAACTATAAACATACGTTCCAACAGATCCATCTCCTGAACCCTTAGTTGCTACATAAGCAAACCTGACATCTAGAAGCAATCCGATTTCATTTTTTGACATTGCAAAAATAGTCCTCTTGTAGAAAAAAGTCAAAAATGTATTATTTATAGTTTTGATTTAAAAATTCAACACTAAAATTTTGAGTCTGCTGGACTCTTAGCTTCTATATAAGCAAACCACACATCTAGGAACAATCCAAGTCCATTTTTTGGCATTGCAAGAACACCCGTCTGGTAGAAAAGAAAAAAAAAGTCATAAATGTATGATTTTGAGTTTTGATTTAAATATTTAATGCTAAAATGTTAAGTTTACCCGCGTTATGATTTTGTAGTGGGTATGATCAGATACACCAATCAAAAACCCCATTGTTGTGTTATCCATGAAGCTTATATATGGCTTCTTATATCCAATATTTTGCAAATAAGAGAGTATTCAGCAGTGAACACCTGCAACGAACCTGAAGTACTTTTAATTAGAATTAAAATAACCATTTTTATAAAGAAGTTGGCAATATTATTGATGAGAAAACCAAAAATAATGATATAAGAAGTTGGAAATTTCATATTACCATGGTCTAAATCATGGTGAATTCATGTATATAGTATCATAATATTGAGCTAGGCAACCTAATTCCGTTTTGCTACCCCATATGCCTGTATGTGTATCAAAACAAATTTCAATAGAAAATCATTAAACTTTAGTAACATAAACAAAAATAAGCTAAAGCAGAAAACGACAAACTCATATTTAATATTGCATTTCAGCTTTGTTTTTGTGTTCAAAGCGTAGGATTCCAGTGACATTGTGGATTTATGCATCAAGATTTCTCCACAAATTGTAATCAAGGGTAATTTAGTGATTTGCTCAAGGGTAATTTGGTGATTTTCCCCTGTTTCAAAACCAATCCTATGTTAGTCTTTTTCTCTTATGTAAATCAAGTTTAGAAACGATATGAAAAAACAACCCAACATCCAATAAATTTTATTTGAAAGTGAAAGAAGAAGAAGAGTTGAAGTGGTCCAAGAAAATGAAAAGCAAATTAACCTGGTATGTTAAATTCAAGGAAGTTGGATTTTTATTAGCAAACATAAAGATCATTCACAACAATAACAGACTCTTCTCCGTCTTCTGATTTCGATCACCAATTCGCACAAGCCACACTCTTTTTCCTTGTCAAAATCGATCACACTACTTCCAAATTCGCAGCTTCTCCTTCTTCTCTAGATCGATGAAAATCCTTCTCTCTTTCTCTCCAAATCGAAGTCAGAAAGTGTTGGATGGTTTTTCTTTTTCATAGGAAGGCTCGATGGTGGTTGTGATTGCTCATTTGCTACCTTGAAGAAAGTTAAGGAGTGTTTTTGGTGGTGATTTATGGTTGATTTGGTGGGTTGTGTAGGATGTAGTAGAGACTGGCTGAGGGAGGTGGTTATGGAGTGGAAGAAGGCTGAGTGATGAACATGGTGGGTATGATGTTGGGTTAATCCGCATGTGGTATAATGTGGAATGGGGTTATAAAGGTGGATGTGTTGGTGTAGATGGTGGTCACGGTGGAGGAGTGGAGAAGGAGGGTAATGGTGAAGGAGAAAAAGCGAACGGTAGGATACTTTTAAAGTAATGAAGCTCCCTGACAACCCCTTCAATGCATCCTCATCTTCACTTTCTAGGGTGGGAGCTGGTGGGGATGGTGAGCATTGTTGACGAAGTAAACCCCATGAATAGTGGTGAAGAAGCAGATTGTCGGTGGTGGTGAACGATGGCCGCCTATAGGATGATGGCGACCAGGTTTCACTGAGAAGAAGAACGAAGAAGTGATGGATAAAGGAAATAGAGTAATAGAAAGGAAGATAAACATGAAAATACAGTCACAAGACAGCCACGATGATCAACACGTACAGAGAAAAGAACTAACTACATAAAATGCCCCTATAAAAAATTATGAAATGGAAACAAACCGAATACTTGAGGGGCCATTTCTGCCAAACTATTGGCAAGTTCACTTGCTATGCTCGCACAACTTTATTATATATAATTGAAGGGCCATTTTTGCCAAAAAAACAGAAGTTCGCTATTCAACTTTTAACATAACTTTAATATATATAATAATTATTTTGGTGGAAGGGAATAAAAATGTTATTTAACAATTTAATATATTGTTACAAATAAACTAGTATAAACTTTTCATATACATATTATGGTTATTTTATCATGAAATAACTAGTCCGCGCAAAAAATGCTACATCATACAAAAAATGCTACATCATAAAAAGCACATCATAAAACTTTGTAGTATTTCAAGGATTCAAACTATTACTATGCATGTATATTTATATGTTTAAATACATAAACTTTATACATGTACATATGTTAATTACTTTGGAATGTACCTATTTATAAAAGCGAGTACATTACACTTTTATATACATACCAATCATACTCGTCTTTTATAAACTTTATACAATGAATTTCATTTTGACTAGTGACTTAATCACAATTAAGTTAGGGTTGAGAGTTATTCACATATTTTAGTTAAGGGATTTTTAGTAATACTATATTCATTAGCTGAGTCTAAACACTTACCATACCCACACTACTATTCTCATTAATCTTTGGAGGGAGATACATATCTAGAGATCTATACTGAGTTGACATCCCCACCTGTAGTTGCTAGCTACAACCTCGACCGATCAATCGAAGTGGGTAATAAGTGTGTGCAATTGTTACTAGAACGTCCAATTAACAGTCACATAGCTTGGTTATCGGACTCACTATAAACAATGACTGGAATCTCTCTTTCTCTCTCTCTCTCTCTCTCTCTCTCTCACACTCACTATAAACCATGGGTTTGGTTGCTTTCAAAACTATTTTTAAGTATGGAATTATTTATGTAACAATATATTTTGGCTTTCAAGTATATTCAAAGATTCATTGCAAACATAATTTTAAGTATCAATTTACATATATAAAGATACATTTTAGCTTTCAAAGACTCTTTACAAACACAATTATAAGTATTGATGTGATTACAAAGAAAATACTTTTTAGACTGTTTAAAAGTATTATTTTAGTTAACAGAAAACCTATAACTCTCACCAACCTTATGTTGACCCTCAAAACTACATGTATTCTTAGGAAATCATTAAACAGACATTCAAGACGTATTGGATTACAGGTAACCTACTTTACTTGCTGTTGTATTATATGCCTATATGTTAAGGCAATTCATGTACTATTATTTATATGTAATAACTTTGTATTCAAATATCAATATGGAACAACAATTCTATTTTGTTTAATATTGTACTTATGCTACATATTCAGTTTACCGGTGATCCATGAACTTAGTCGCACAGTCCGATGTGTTTTGACGCCTCGACCGAGGGTGCAACATAATTCAGAAAATAACTCAAAATTGATTACAATATCTCATATCCTTCTCTCACTTTTCTAAAGATCTAAACCTACACGTTTCGATATATATATATATATATATATATATATATATATATATATATATATACACCCGATAATAGTGTCCTAGTTTGTTTCCTACTTAAATACAAACCTCCCATATATGATGTCACACCCCAAAACCGAGAACGGTAGAAACGTTCTGGGGCGGAGGACATCATGTATAGTATCACAACACAGTAATATTAAATAAGCAAACAAACATCATCCATTGCATTAAATATATAATTTTACTACATGTGTGTTCTGTGTAAAGTAATAGACACCAAAAATGAATGATAAAAGACAAGTCTTGTATGCTCCGTCTTCTCAAAACCTGTCACGGGTACCTGTCTAGAGATGACCTGAGAATACAAGTTATTTTGAAAGCATAGATTAGCATTTAAGCTGGTGAATTCATAAGTATTTTAATGTCTTTGATTTGTAAAACCGTAAGAAAAGACTTGTGAATGATTGATGATACAATTCGTGTAAGTGTGAAAACCCTAGAAAATCTCATATTTCCTACTAATATAAAAAGTAGTCTTCTACCAAGACCTGACTGTTTTGCATGTTTGTTTCTTGTAAAAGTATGTAATTTTCCCATGTGTAACTATTATTATCAAAATATATTCTACTGAATCATTGATGTGAATGTGTCACAAAGTAAAAGTAAATGGGAAACATTATATAAACATGTAAGTATTATCCTTTCGTACTACGATAAACACTGCAGAGTAACTTGTCGAATAGTAGTAACCGTAGACATCCGTCGATGTGCATTTTCCCTCTATAGCTAACATCTGGGTGTAGAATGGTTAGTCACGTACTTATATAACAATATCTACTCATATAATATGTAATAGTAACTCATCACATATTATGTAATCGTATCTTTTCTTATAGTAAGTAATAGTTTCTCTTCATATAGTATGTAATACAATTGTATAGACTCATGAATGAACTGACTCTTGTATGTTCCATTTGTACTAGGAATAGTTGGTAGTATTTCCCTAAGTTATACCTATTATATTTTACTAGTAATGTAGTTTGAAATGTCCATGTAGGTTTATACACCTTTGCTATACAAGGTATTGGAGCTGAAAACACAGCCATCCTATTCAATTGCATATATATATATATATATATATATATATATATATATATATATATATATATATATATATTTCTTTCCCGTATTTCAAATACTTCGTACGGTACCCAATAAATTATTGGGTGTTCTTTTAATGGTTTCAGTACCTACGGTATTATTAACAGTACCTTTTTTAGAGATTGTTAATAAATTCCAAAATCCATTTCGTCGTCCAGTAGCGACAACCGTATTGTTGATTGGTACCGCAGTGGCCCTTTGGTTGGGTATTGGTGCAACATTACCAATTGATAAATCCCTAACTTTATGTCTTTTTTAAATTGATTCAATTGTGAAATAAAATATCACGATGTATGTATCTAGGGAACAATCGCTTCAAAGTGAATTCTTCCTAGATACATCTATTCAATTAAATTATGAATCTATGCCAATTCTGATTATAAGAATTGTCCAAAAGATTCAAAACCTATTTTCGGCCTTTTTCTAAAAAAAAGATGAAATATATATATATATATATATATATATACACACACACACACACACACACACACACACACACACATAAGCGTATGGATATGGTTTCTATGAATATATAAGTGAAAAATAGGTTTTGTAATTCATTTAAAGGGTTTGAAACGAGAAAAAAATCATGACTTGATGTCAGTTTGTAAAGCTATTCAAAGGTAGTTTGTTTGATAAAACGGTTTGAAAGTATAGTAAATCCATATGTTTTGTAGTTATTAATCACGTGTGATTGATATAATAACTATGATAATCAACTTGTATTCCCCCCCCCCCCCCTAAAAGTATTTAAAAGCATGTAAGAGCATTTAAAAGGTTGTTTAAAGGGTATGAACTCACCTGAAATGAGTAGTTTGTTCGGGAGTGTCGGAAATGTTGGACAAGGTGCTAGGTGTCAAGTAAGGACTTGAACACACACAGTGATCCTAGTTAACATATAATAAACATATATGTATCTAATTAGTCAAATAACAACTATTTAACAAATTTAAGACATCCTAGGACATGTAAAACACCTTTTATAAGTGCTACAAGTCACAAGGGTGGCATCTAAGTGTTGTAGGGCATTGCTATTGGGTTTGGGGTTCAAGGAATGCCCCATACTGGAGTTTACGGTTTTGTGACCATCACCCAATGAGTTTACGATCGTAAACTCATGCTTCCTTGACCATTTGTTGATTTGGAGCCTTATAAGTCCTTTAGAAGCATTTCCACTTGAAGTATAAGCCTTTGGAAGAGATTAGGGTACCATTTCCCTCCTTTTAGGAGTTTACGGCCCTACGACCATTTCCTTTTGGGTTTACTACCATAAACCCTTATGGATTATGTTATTTTGATGTTTTCAAGTCCTAAACATATAAAGGAAGGGATCTAAGCAAGTTTCCAAGGCTTATGGGGGACTAAGGCACACTTTGGCACCCTTATTTAAGGTTTACGGTCCAAGAACATCTTGGACCGTAAACACCTTGTTCTTGGTGATTCTTGGACATTTTCCGGATGTATGGAACTGTAACAAGCTCTATAAGACTCTAGGATATAAATACTTACTAGTTAGAAGCTTGAAAATGGGCTAAAGGCCCAAGAACACTAGTGTGTATTCTTGGTGTTCTTGGTGTTTTGAAGATCTAAGCAAAACACGAAATTGCATGGATGAAATGTTGTATAAACACTAGGTGGTATGTTATAACAACAAATCAAGTCAAGAAACACTTACATTTTTGGGAGATCAGGTGAAAGATGGGATGATAGTTGAGAGAGAATGGAGGGTGTTTTTTAGAATGGAAGTTGGAAATGAAGAGTTTGTGGAGTAAAATCATGCTTAAGGCATGAGTTTACGGTCTATGGAGATTTTACGGCCCAAACTGCAAATTTTTGGTCGTGAACTCTTGGTTAGGGTGGAAAGGGTGGTTTTGCTACTTCACGACCCGAGACGGTACTTCCTTTCTTTCGTTAGTTTAAAGAATAAACACTAAAAACGCTCAAACGGACTTTTAAATTGGCTAACAATTATTTGAAATGTAATTGAATTTTAATTGAAGTGATTGACTTTAGAGTTTGTCCGAATGAAAATTTCGGGTTGTCACATATGATACATGCTTGTTCCCTAAGCAACCGATTTGATTTATCCCTAAGCATCTTCTTAGGTCTCCATGTTGCCCAAGGAAATATCATTCATAGACCTCATCGTGTATGGAAGGGTAGAACCAAAAATTACCAATATCAGCTCATTCTTCCTTTCCGTTGATATGCTCGATTGTGATCTCCTTATCTTCAACTCGTTATCGTATATAATGAAAACGATATTTGATGTGCTTGCTCCCATCATGAAAAAACTAGGTTTTTATTAATGCAATTTTTATTGTGTTGTCAACATTAATTAAAACTTCTTGTAAATAAAAACTAGTTAATTCTCCCAAAAGATCTCGTAACCAAACTTATTGACACCTTGTTGCAAATGTAGCAATATACTCAGCTTCAGAAGATGATAACACCATTTTTTTTTCTTGCTTTTGAGAGCACCACGTGGTTGGTAATTCACCAAAGTATAATACATGCTCGGTGGTACTGTAACAACTCGATATTTCAAGTCAATGTAATAGTCTACGTCAACCATTGTAACTAGTTTTAAAGTAATAAAGAGATATTATTTGAATATTATGTGCATTTAGTTACTTATAGATATGTAATAAAATAAGATAAAAATGAGTTAGATAAACTAGATATCTATGAAGAAACTTGCAGTGGTCGTGACAAGGATTCCGGAGATATAAAGAACACTGAAATCCAAGTTATAACGAAGAAGTTATTACCTATCAAAGTTTTGCGACGGAACCGACATGACGGTGTGTGATGTAAAAACTGAATTTACGATAAAATAGTTTTTAGCCATAACAATCTAAATGAAAGTTGTAGCATACGTTAAATCGAGAACATGCATAAAACGAACGTTCAAATCTGACTTCATACGAGGAAGTTATTAATTTTCTTAGATTTATATTAGTAGTCTACAACCCGGAATTTGAATTATAGATTGAGTGATTTTTAACCGATACAACCTAAACAAGAATCGAAAATCTAATCAATAGTAGTTCAATGGGAAAATTAAAAAGAAAATGGACTTCATATGAAGAAGTTATGAATTTTTAACGGACTTTTCCTATCCCAGCCTGTTAAAAATATAACTTTAAAAATAAAATCAAAATTTATTGACAGAGTCTAACAGAAAGTTGAAGAGTACGGTCTCACCTACGTGTGGATATAAAGAACGTCAAAAACGGAGCTCGTATGTGAAAGTTAAGAATTTTTGAAGTTTTAGGAACAAATTTCGAAGGAGTACGCCCCGCGTAGTAGGAGATTTGGTCCGGAGTATGCCACATCACCTTATTCCTTCGCATGGTGGACGTGTGTTTATAGCTTGGATACATCCGAAGCTATGAAACCAATCATAAGCCACATAGCTCCTACAGGTAGTGTACGAGGGTATGCCCTACGTAATGCGAGACCTCAGCCAGCTATAAATACGATGCGAGACCTCCTGGTTTTGGTTACTACTTTACCATATTTTTCACTTTCTGTAGCCTCTCAAGCCATCCTAAAACCCCCCGAATCTTAGGGAACCTCCCTAACACCCGAAGAAACCCCAAAGCCCCTGAAGTTCCCGAGAAAAGAGTCTTTTCGGTTCAAAGCTCTGCCCGCACAGAACCCGATTCTCAACAGAAACCCGTGATTTCAAGTAACGAAGTGTTATCCGAATCACCACTTATTCAAGTGATTTCATACCCCTACTTTTTCACTATTTCCATATATAA